AAACTTGTACATAATATGAATGATGGGTACTATGACATTAAGAATGACATGAAAGAAATAAGTTTGATTCAATTATATAAACAGTTCTTAATCCATACAGTCAAAATGAAGGGCATATATTTTTCTTTATAGGCATAAAGTAACAAACACTCACCTAATCCATCAAAATTTTACTTTTTGAAGAAAAGGAACCTTACTTACTTTATTGAGTTGACATTCATATTTTTGTGTTTGACAGGTAGACTAATGGTTTCTGACTAGTATAATGAGAACTTTTTATTTAAGAGTCATCAGATTGTTCTGATATTTTGGTTAAGATATCTGCATGACATCAATTAATTTGTTCATACAAAGGGATAAAAGCTTTTCCAGGTTTCCTCTTTACTCAGATTAGATTGTGTCTTGCTAATATATCCAACATATAAGTTACTCATCAAAGTCAAACAAAGGTAAATAAATGACCTTATTAAGTTTTAAGTCAAAAGGTCAAAGAGATGTGGAAATCTGCTAAATTTAATTGTTTAGTTAATATTCATCAAACTTCATGATAGGTTAATTAAACAAACTTCATATATTTTGATTTTCAGGTCAAAGATCAGCACAATTTTTGCTATACCATTGTTGTCTATGAATATCTTAACACCTCTATTGACTTTTCAGGTTAAAGGTCAATGTATTCCTGCTACAGTAAAACTTCATTATAAGGATCTCATAGTGATATTCTTTATTTGTAAGGAATTAGATATAAAATCTCCCACTCTTTCTATAATATGTCACTGAATGTGCTCCTTCATTTTAGAGAGTTTTACAAGCAAATCATATACTGACTTTCAATCCTTCAAAACACAATATGTATATTAAATCTTGAGATTCAGACTTTCAGCCTTTTAGGATTTCAGTCTTAAAAACTCTCAGGCTTTCAATCTTTAAAAACTTTCAATCTTGAGGACTGAGTATTTTCATATTTATTTTGTAAGTCTTGTCTTTTATGTCATTACGATTAATCCTTAGTAATAAAACCAGAGTGTTGAAGTACATTGTGTAATCTTAATGTTTATCTAAAATTACTGCTTTTAATACAGTCAAATACAATTTGTGATGATCAAAATTTCCAAATTGTCTGACCTATACATATTTAAAGTTTCAATATCATACACTCTTGAATATCCATAAATATCAATATATTGATTTTTAAAATATCAATATATTGATTAAGCATTTGCTATCAACCATACACTTGTTAACCTAAGGAAGGCTCTTACCATAAGTTAAACTCATGGAATTCTTCATGCAATTTTGAAGAATCTCTGTTATAAGGGATGGTAAAGACAAAAGACCCATAAATTTCCAAGTAGTAATAATATTTAAAACTATATATCCACACTAAATTGAGGAACATTTGAAGGACCCTTTTCCTTTATAACTCATGACATTTCATGTAGATAGTGGCTATAATGTGTAAATAATCATTATGGAAAAAAAGGATGGTGTAAAGTTAGCCTCACCCAACACCCAAGGGAGAGGGGAGGGGGTTGAACCCTTTTTTTGTCCAGGAAACCTGAATTTTAAAGTTTAAAAAAATTATAAAATTGAATTAAATTTGTTCTATAAAAAATTATAATGTTGAATTAAATTAGTTTATTCATTTTTTTTTTTAAATTTCTTTTTTTTTTTAACTATTGAAATACAAAATGCTGATTTTCTTTCCTTTATTTACCTCTGTGTTCATAAGAATGCTAACAAAATCAAAAGGAGTTATACTAAAATTTAGTATTAAAGGCTATGATTGTCATCTCATCTTAAATATAAAATGATATGGGTTAAAATTCTATATAGGATCTCTGTTTGGGGTTTTGTAACAAATCGTTAATTATAAGACCCTGTCTTTATCACCCCAGTGATAGTTTTTCACTAAAATGAAGTAAAGCCTTTACCAAAAAATACTTGAGTGGATTAAGTTGTCTAAAGGTAAAGTTATCAACTTGTATGGCAATCAGTTTCTCCCATGTTCAACAAAAGATGTTTTTAATATGTCATTATTAAACCTATTTCAAATGTAGAAAGTGAAGTTTTTACCAAAATGCTTTAGTGTATGGATTAAGTGACAACAATGCTAAAAATAAAGATATTAACTTGTATGGCTTTCAGTTTCACTCCTTTTTATATGGTTGAGGTTTATATTATCCCATTATCATGCTTTGCCATATAAGACAAATTATCTGTATTCAGTTGTAAATAAAGAAAGAAAATAAAAATTTAAAAAAAAAAAGTTAAATTTAATTTAATTCAAATTATAATTTTTTATAAAAACAAATTTAATTCAATTTTATAATTTTTTTAAACTTTAAAATTCAGGTTTCCTGGACAAAAGAAGGGTTCAACCCCCTCCCCTCTCCCTTGGGTGTTGGGTGAGGCTAACTTTACACCATCCTTTTTTTCCATAATGATTATTTACACATTATAGCCACTATCTACATGAAATGTCATGAGTTATAAAGGAAAAGGGTTCTTCAAATGTTCCTCAATTTAATGTGGATATATATTTTTAAATATTATTACTACTTGGAAATTTATGGGTCTTTTGTCTTTACCATCCCTTATAACAGAGATTCTTCAAAATTGCATGAAGAATTCCATGAGTTTAACTTATGGTAAGAGCCTTCCTTAGGTTAACAAGTGTATGGTTGATAGCAAATGCTTAATCAATATATTGATATTTATGGATATTCAAGAGTGTATGATATTGAAACTTTAAATATGTATAGGTCAGGCGCAATTTGGAAATTTTGATCATCACAAATTATATTTGACTGTATTAAAAGCAGTATTTATGGATAAACATTTAGAAGATTACACAAACACTATACTTTCACACTCTGGTTTTACAAATATGAAAAAGTTTAAATGACTAAGGATTAATCGTAATGACATAAAAGACAAGACTTACAAAATAAATATTAAAATTCTCAGTCCTTAAGATTGAAAGTTTTTAAAGATTGAAAGTCTGAAATTTTTTAAGATTGAAATCCTAAAAGGCTGAAAGTCTGAATCTCAAGATTTAATATACATATTGTGTTTTGAAGGATTGAAAGTCAGTATATGATTTGCTTGTAAAACTCTCTAAAATGAAGGAGCACATTCAGTGACATATTATAGAAAGAGTGGGAGATTTTATATCTAATTCCTTACAAATAAAGAATATCACTATGAGATCCTTATAATGAAGTTTTACTGTAGCAGAAATACATTGACCTTTAACCTGAAAAGTCAATAGAGGTGTTAAGATATTCATAGACAACAATGGTATAGCAAAAATTGTGCTGATCTTTGACCTGAAAATCAAAATATATTAAGTTTGTTTAATTAACCCATCTATGAAGTTTGATGAATATTAACTAAACAATTAAATTTAGCAGATGTCCACATCTCTTTGACCCTTTGACTTAAAACTTAATAAGGTCATTTATTTACCTTTGTTTGACTTTGATGAGTAACTTATATGTTGGATATATTAGCAAGACACAATCTAATCTGAGTAAAGAGGAAACCTGGAAAAGCTTTTATCCCTTTGTATGAACAAATTAATTGATGTCATGCAGATATCTTAACCAAAATATCAGAACAATCTGATGACTCTTAAATAAAAAGTTCTCATTATACTAGTCAGAAACCATTATAGTCTACCTGTCAAACACAAAAATATGAATGTCAACTCAAAAAGTAAGTAAGGTTCCTTTTCTTCAAAAAGTAAAATTTTGATGGATTGGGTGAGTGTTTGTTACTTTATGCCTATAAAGAAAAATATATGCCCTCCATTTTGACTGTATGGATTAAGAACTGTTTATATAATTGAATCAAACTTATTTCTTTCATGTCATTCTTAATGTCATAGTACCCATCATTCATATTATGTACAAGTTTCAATCCTAATAGATGAATCCACATTTTGTTTTTATTTCACATCACTTGGCAGCCATATTTGAGGGAAACTCAAAATTCTCTGTCCATGTTAATTTCTTGTGTATACCTTCATCATTTGACATAACTCATTTGCTTTGATTGCCTAAATCAGAGCTATTCATACATAAGAAGAGAACAAAAAATGAATACAGTGAATTTATTGCAATAATACCTGCATGTTTGATACATAAAGAGAAATATTTTTTTCATTACTTTTTGACCTTTGGATTGACCCTGAATAGAGATAAGGTTTACATTTTGTCAAGTGTAAACTATATACTGCATGACTAAACATGGTTTGTATATTTAAATATGAAATAGTTTCTTTAATGCTTAAATCAAAATATTCCAACTATCCTAGTGAGAATTATGCTCAATTACCCTCTTTAGGAAGAAGGCTCAAATAGGCTTTGCCTGCTGCCCAATTCTATTCACTTATGTATAAAAAATTTTGTATAAATTAATTAACTTTGTGAAATATTCCCAACTTCCAATGCTTCTTTATTTACATTTAAAAAAAAAAAAACTGACTCAAATAAAATTGTTTTCTCATTTATTTTACAAGAAATAACATGCTGACAGTGAATCTATTCATTTTTTTTTTAACTGGTTAAAGTAATGTTTCCAATTGTCTTAAAATGCTTAAATGCAAGTTTATTTCATAAACCAATACCTTAAATGTATAGACTGAATTTACTTATGGATTAACCCCTTTGTAGTAAAAACCATTTCTTAAACCTGATTTTCTTGTTTATTCTCTCATGCATTACCTAATTTGAGTATTCTCAAATTATTGATTACAGGAACAAACAAATTTAAGACAAAATCACAATAGATGCTGAATACCCTGAAATGAAATGGTTACATATGTAAGATGTGTAACACATCATGTACAACTTTTAAGTTTACAAGATTTTAAGCTACCCATATTATACAATAAGACTACTTTTTCAAAGTTTTGAAAAATTCTTTACAAAAATATAAATGCAAAAGATAAATGTTAGGGTACACTTTTAAAATACATTTTATATGAATCACATAAAGAACATTACAAATCATTTCTTTGTGGTTGTTTTCCTTTGGAACATCTGTGAACAAACATTCTGTTTTGTCTTTCTGATACATGAAAAGCGTCCAAAAATCATTTGGAATTGTTGTGTTAAACCCTGATATAATAATTTTAAGTTTCTGGTGTGTGCCCTACTTAGAAATGTTTACAATGTAACAAAGATGAAACTCATAATTTGATTTAATCAGCAATGATAAAGTCATCAGGTTTCTGCATGCTTTTCTGACACATCATGTACATTTTTTTTCTACTTGTTTGTCTTTGTTCACAAAAATTGAAATCAACAGTACTTAGCATTCCATATAAAGAAATATGAACCCTAGCTATTAGAAATTTTAAAATATATTTGTGCATCAATGCATTATGTTTAACAAATCAATCTCTTTCACTGTGATGAAAATTGTCTTCTTCATATAACATGCAGACAAAGAACTTCTTTGGATGATGTCATTTTCACATGTAGAAAAGAAACTGATTCAACTAAAACTAAAAGACAGTCATTAAAATTTTAAGGACATTAAAGGATGATATCAAGACCGAAGTCCAGGAATTGATAAAATTATATAATTATCATCCAAAGATGTATATGTTTGGATTTATTTTTTTAATTCACAAGCAAATGATATGCTGCCATTTAATCTTTCAAACTTTAAAAAAAAAGTTGTATACTTTTGAATTAAATTTCAAAATCTAGAGGAGTCTTCCCAATACCTATCTATTTATGACTGAAGGTATGTAAATCACCAGAGTTGCTGTACTGCACCATTTGAATAAAAGTCATATCCACAGTCTTGACTTTTTTCCCTAAACCTTATTTCAAAACATATATGATTCCAACCAGTCTTTATCTATGCAGTGAAAAGATTTTTACAGACTTCTAAGGTATTACATAGTAATAGTCTTTAAACATCTTTGAACATAGTGCATATGATTTACATTTCAATTCTTTCCAAAGAATATGCTATGCCACCCAATAAAGCTGATATAAAGTCACTAGGTTATCACAAAATGTTAAAGTTACAACAACTGAATTTTACCCAGGAGAAAAATGATCCAAAAATCTATAGAAAATCTCCGAATCTTTCTTTACTTATGATGTGAATTTTGCAGGTTACAAATTATTGTCAAAGGTAGTTATCTCAATAATCACATGCTTTGACCCTGACAAAGTGTCCTATAAAACTAAGTGTATTACTCTAACCTGTTCTGTGTAGTAAGCATGAAGTCTAATGGTTGATAGAAATATTCAAGATATTATTACATCACAGATCAGGGGACACTTACATCTTTATGGGGGTCCTATTGAGACCTATTAAATTCAAAATAGGACACACACACACACACACATACACAAACAAAATGTATTTACAGTTCCAGGAAAGTAATAATTACACCAAAGCTAGCTTTTAAACATCTGTGTAATTTGTTAGGGGTTGTAGAAATAAGATGAAAAATAAAAGGTTTAAATGTATACTTCTCATACATAACAACTGTCTTCAACATGAATTGGTAAAAATAAAAGTCACATTTAGATACTTTGAAGTCTGGGAATTATTTTTTTTTTGGAAGATCTCATACTATCAGAAAATCACAATATCAATTCTAGGATTTGATTAGACCTCATTTTGTTAAATGACTGCAATTTATCTATTGTTGTGTATGACAGAATATGAAAGATATGAAGGGGAGAGTTTTTGACCCTTTTTTTTCCTTCATCATAGTTTACCCTTTTTTTCCTTCATCATAGTTTAAAATATATATTATACAGGTCTTTATCTATGTAGTGAATATAGGATTTTTACAGAAACCCTAGGTATTACATAGTAATAGTCATATAAACACCCTTGAACATTGTACATTTGATTAACATTTCAATCCTTTCCTAAGAATTTGCACCTAATTTTTATAAAGTCTATAAGTTATCACACAATGTTGAAGTTATTGCATTACAGGAATTACAGGACTCAAATCAGTAATCTCAGTAAGTAACTAACTTTTACCCAGGAGTAAATGATCCAAAAAATCTATAGAAATATCTTATTGATTCTTCATCTGTGTACTTATGATGTGAAGTTTGTAAGTTACAAATTATTGTCAAAGAAGTCATCTCAATAATCTTATGCTTTGACCTTGACAAAGTGTCCTAAACAACAAAGTGTATTCCTACAACCATTCTATATGTAATAAGTATGTACAATATGATATGATAAAGATATTGAAGATATTATCAAACCACAGATTATGGGACACTTGCATCTTTATTGGGGGTCTTATTGAGACCCAATTTAAATTCAAAATTAAACATGATACATACACAAACAAAATATATTTACAATTCCAGGAAAGTTAAATAATAACATTAAATCCAGAATCTGGATATCTTTGTAATTTCTAGGGGGTTGTAAAAATAAGATGAAAAATAAAAGGTTTAAATGTGTGATTCCCATACATAACAACAGTCTTCATTATGAATTGGTAAAAATAAAAGTCACATTCAGATACTTTGAGGTCAGTGAGAATTAGTTTTTAAAGAGCTAATGCTATCAGAAAATCATATTTTCAATACTTGATTTGACTAGATCTCAGTCTGATAAATAATTACACTTTATCCATAGTCAGTGTCTGACAGTGAAAGATACAATCCTGGCTCCTTTCTTTGTCATCCTGTAAACCACAGTCTATGACCATACTGGTTAAATTGGTTGGAAATCATATTTATCTATGTTCTTCTTAAATCCTCCATCCTCTTAAGTTTGGTTTTCTTGTTTCAGTGTTCCAAGAGAGGATATTCTGTTAGTCTTTGCATAATCTGAAAGTCTTTCACCATTCTGAGAGTAGACATAGATCATTTCCATAAGCCCTCACTAGAGAATCCTGGAAAATAGAAAAAATAATGTCTTAGTTGAAAAAAAAATTGTTATATAATATAAGCTTGATGGAATTCTAAATATAGACAAAAAGGGTATAAATACAAGGTGTAACATCAGAATTTGACTTTTCATATTAACCATGGGTAACACCTCCAGTAAAGAAAAGAGTAAAGGAATGAGTAAAATTCAGTTTGGAAAGAGAGTTCTTTCAGAGAAAGATGTAGACAGAGGTATACCAGTTAAAATAAAAAAAGATGGCACTATTGAGATCATTTCTCAACAAGAATATAACCAATTATGTCCAGAAAAGGGTGATCCTAATGTTGTCAGAGATTACATAGAAAGACCCTTGATTGCAGAAGAAGCCAATGAAGAATATAACCATTTATTACCAAAAGAGGGTAAGAATTACTTGGATTACCCTGAAAGACCTTTGACTAGAGAAGAAGTCAAGTTTATAGATGATAAGAGAAAACAGTTGTCAGAAAAAAATGTTGTTAAAGACACATGATTTTTAGCCCACAAAACCATTGGGGATACAAGGATTACAAGATACAAGGATTAATGGAGGAAGTCCAAACTGAACTCTTGGAGGACATTAAGGCTTATTATGAGAGTAACTTTCCAGTGTTTGTTTATTACAAAATTATGTATTCTGAATAAAAAAAAAAGTTTTCACTTTCATTTGTTGTGCCTAAGACCATTTAAATTGACCTTATGATCAAGATTGTGATATATACACTCTGATAATCATCTATGATGTCTCTATGATGTTTACCTCAAAAGATTGAATCAGGGTATTTGTGTTCAAAGAGCTGAAGAAACTATACAGACAGATCTAAGATTTTGGAAGCATGCATATTAATGAGGTTAAAGGAGATATAACACTAGATTATTATAAAAGAAAGAACACAAACTCATAGAAATGATATTGAAAGTACCTTTTATGAATAAAGTGTCATGCTCCAAGGTATTATTTTTATAAACAGGAGAAGGTTTACAGCAGTCCCATACACTCAGAAAAAGATCTTGGTTAGTAGAAACACCATGGAATTTTATTTCCACACAATCAGATCATCTTACATCAGTTATAAGGTTACAATCTTTATACATAGTCAAGAGGGTCATTAAGATTTCTTTTATGGTCATCCTAATGAGCCACATTATAGTATTCTTTCCCTTTGATATAATGTTAATATTAAATGGAAAATTCAGAATTCATCAGCAATTGAAGTGAAAATTTGCTATCTTTACCAACTATGCTATTAAGGAAACTGGGGGTTAACAAATTAGCCATATTTAACTTATTCTATAGATATGCTATCTTCAGCTGTTAAGTATCATTTGGCAAAGAAAAATTTCATACATTTTAGTTTTAAAATTTGATCATGAATTTTTATGCCTTTTCTTCTTCTTCTAAAGGAGATCAATATAGTTTAAACATGACCATGACCACCAAGCCCTCTTTATTTAAAAAATCATATATCATTTACTTATCAATTCAAAATTATAAACATGCATATGTAAAAAAAAAAAAAATAAATAAATATTACAATTGTATCTCATTGAAACTTTACCTTCAAGTTTGTGTGTTTCTATGTTGATTGACAAACTGTGTATTTCCAAAGGAAGACCAGCAGCCAGGCTTCACTTCATAGAGAATGGATTATAGATGGTTAGGAACAAAACATATCTTCCAGGTTGAGGACTGTAGAAAATAAAACCCATTTTGTTATTATGATTTAAATTACATGAGACAATGCCTGTTATAAATGTAATGCAAAAAATATCATATATATATATGTTTTTATATCTAATCAATTGTTTTTATATTAAATGTCATTTGTAAAATGTATTTTTTAATAGATAATAAACAGACAGATTTATTTAATATCTTTAAATGATTATCAGATGAATTACTTTAAGCACATGAAAAAACATTATCTCAAATTACACAGATCAATGGGTTATTTAGCATAGCTGATATTAAACATATAAAACATAATCACAATCATAAACAATTGAAACAACTTTAAAAGACCTACACGGTGGAAACAAGCCTTTTTCACTGGGGGTAAAATCTTCTATGTTGGCCATGACCGCCGAACTATGTATTTCCAAAGATGAAGTCATACATTCCATGTTGATGACTGTAGAAATAAAAGCATTTTGTTAATATGACAGAGTACTGCATGAAACAATGCATGTTTAAATACAACATGTACAATGCCAAAAAAGATCATGAAAATGTTTGTTTTTAATCTCAAAACAAATTGTTTTTAACATTAACTCCAGATGAGAAAAATGCATCATGTTATCTTTAGATAATAAAAAAAAGCACAGTTACTGTATTAATATCACAAATAAAATGATTATCAAATTAATTATTTAGACACTAAAAGTC